TGAGCTTGCTCTGCTTTGCTTGACTGGTCTTGTGACCCCTTGTTCTCCCCCACTTTGCCTATGGGGGTGTGTCAGAACATTATATAGCTTATGCTGTTGTGTAGGCTATAGTGGGGTATCCCATAGGGGGTACAACCCAATTAGGGTTTTCCATATGTACTCACCTCATTCATAGTTCATTCATCCTCGTTCTTCATTCTTCTCATTCCACACCACACATGCTTAGATGAATGTAATGAATCAAGTTATATAAATGCATTAAACAATACATGCATAATAATGTTTTAATATGCATATGATATGCTTATATGCGCACATACCAATATTTCATAAAAATGCGTGATAGTTAACGACCCAAAAACTAAGCTACCGCATCCTCTGCCTAGCATGGGGAGGAAGTCAGTAGCTTAATTTTCGAATAATCAACTACCACATGAAACAATACAATCTGTGAATTCTAAAAAGGAGATGAAATCCATCAAATCCAGTTCGAAGTGGCAACACACGAGTCACTGAGTGCGCCAATGAACCTTTTGTGAAATGATAGATATGAGGCCCCTTTTTAAGACCCACAAACATGCATTGTTATTGCAATGTACATGCACATGTATACACTCATACACAACATACATACATATGCACGCACATACATACAAACAAACATACGCACAAGTTCATACACATTTACAACACAAAAATTCAGTGCACGAACTGTAAAAACAAAAACCACATATGCAAATGAAAATCTCCAATACGAAATAAAGACCCGACGCCACTCGTCTCTTTCCACATACTAGGCCGCTACAATAAAGCATTAAATCACCTGAGAAGTACAAAAGAGAGAAAATAATAGAAGGAGCAAAAGGGAAGCGAGTAAAAATGCAGATTTACATCATGAAAGAATGAACCGAACAAAAACAAATGCGAAGAAAGGGGAGGCAAAGGAATGTCTTACGTTACAGAACGGCATGTATTCAAGGGAACAGAATGATGAACGCAAGAACAAATTTGTGCAATTACGTTATAAAGAACAACAAAACACTAGCTAAGAAAAAAAAAACGCACTGAAACCAAGGAAATCAATAAAAGGGAAACCAGTGGAAACGTAGTAGTAGGTAACAGATGAAAGCAGACACGGCCATATGGTTAAAGGAAGAGAAGAGCACTAACATGATTAAACGAGACAGGACAGCGGGAAGGAATGCAAGAAACCAGTGACAAAGATACACGAATAAACAAATGGAACACCAGTCAAAGATAAACATGAGACTGGGGAAAGAAGAGAATGTCAGAATGTTATTATTGTCTAGCCTGCAGTGGGGTACTATATAGCGAGTACAACCCAATTAGGGTTTCCTATATGTATGCCAACTGCTGCTAGTGCAAACCCCCTTTCTTGTTCTAAACTTTATTCTCTACTTTCTGACATGCTATCAGAGCAGGTCGATCCCCTTGGGTCGATCCTGTGGGTGGGCCCGCCACCTATATGCTTCCGCTGCTCTACTGCTGTCGCGCGCCTCGGGCGCGCTACCCTTTTTTCGTGCCGTCCCCCCCCTCCCGTCACTCGTCGTGGCGCCCTGGGGAGGAGCGCGCGGCCCCTTCTGTCCCGTCCCCCCCCCCCGTGCTGCCCATTTCTCCCGTGCCGCCGTCCGTTCTGCGGTGGTGGGGGGTGTGGGGTGGCAAGCACGGGGGTGCGGTGTTCCCCTCCTCCTTGTTCGTCTCCCACTACTGCAGCTGCTGCTGAGGGGGGTGGAGGTGTGGGATCCGCGGGGAGTGGAGCTTGGGGGGTGACGTGGAAGTGAAGCTAGGGTTTCTGCAGGGGGTGTGTGTCAGGGGAGTGGGACTGTTTGGGGAGGCTGAGAGGAGGCTGCCGTCGTGTCGTTCGCAGCGCCTGTAGTCCGGGGTTCTAGTGGCCGCCGGTAGCTCAGAGAGCCTGCTGCACCTGTCGCCCGTGGGTCTGTTGCTTCTGCCGCTGCTGATCAGCCGCAGAGCCTGTTACTCCTGTATTCCGGGGCACGTGCTCCCGGTAGCCACTGAGTCGCAGAGCGCACTCCTGTTGCCCGTGTGTCTGCAGCTTCAGCCGTCGTCTCCTATCTTCTTTTCCCTGACGGTTCCTCCTCCTCCTCACTTGCCCTTTGTAGTTGCCTCTGGCTTTGCTTATTATTTGTGAACTCTGTGAACTACTGCTATGCTTGCTCATTGTGCTGATTACACCCCACTTTGGCTATGGGGGTGTGTCAGAATGTTATTATTGTCTAGCCTGCAGTGGGGTACTCTATAGCGAGTACAACCCAATTAGGGTTTCCTATATGTATGCCAACTGCTGCTAGTGCAAACCCCCTTTCTTGTTCTAAACTTTCTTCTCTACTTTCTGACAGAGAAAACAAAGACAAGTGTCAAAATAGCAGGCAGAACGAAGGAGCCATAGCTAGGGTTTAGCTAGCTAGGCAAGAGAGAATAGGCAAAAGAGGGGTTGCACTAGCGAGCAGGTGGATACATATAGGAAACCCTAAGGGGCCGTACTCACTATAGAGTACCACACTGCAGGCTAGACAAATATCACATTCCGACACACCCCCATAGTCAAAGTGGGGTATAATCAGCACAGCAAGCAGTCATAGAGCAGGTTCACCAGTACAAACAAAACTAGAGGCATTCACAAAGGGCAAGTGAGGAGGAGGAGGCTGGACTGTGAGAGGAGAGGAGATAGGAGGCGACGGCTGAAGCTGCAGACACACGGGCAACAGGAGCGGCGCGTACGGTGGCTACCGGAGCAAGGGTCCCGGACTACAGGAGTAACTGGCTCTGCGGCTAACTCTGAGCGGCAGGAGCAACGGACCCACGGGCGACAGGCGCAGCAGGCTCTCTGGGCTACCAGCAGCAGAGCCCCGGACTACAGGTGCTGCGGACGACAAGACGGCAGCCTCCGCTCAACCTCCCCCAACTGTCCCACCCCCCTTTCACACACCCCTTGCTGCACCCCTAGCTCCACTCCCACGTCACCCCCCTAGCACCACTCCCTCGGCTCCCACACACCCACCCCCCTCAGCGGCAGCTGCAGCAGTGGGAGACGGAGGAGGAGGAGGAGCAGGGGACGGCTCACACACCCGCCACCCCTATACCCGTCACCCCCATACCCTGAGTGTGCGGTAAGCGAGCTCATGTGTGCGGGAAGCGAACTCGGGTGTGCGGTAAGCGAACTCAGGTGTGTGGGGAGGGGGGGGCCGCAGGGCGACGCGCGGGTCCACGGGAGCGGCGCACGGGTCCCACGGGGTGGCGCGCTGGGATGGCGGGGGCCGCGCGCGGGTCCCTAGGGCGACGCGACGGGATCGCGGGGGGCGCGCGCGGGTCCCCAGGGGCGACGCGACGATCGACGGGGGGGATGCGCGGTTCTCCGGGGGCGGCGCGACGGTCGACGGGGAGGGACGCGCGGGTCCCCGGGGTGACGCGTGAGGCAGAAAACCGCCGCGCGCCCCGAGCGCGCGGCGGGCAGAAAAAACCGCCATTCGCCCCGAGCGCGCGGCGGGCAGAAAACCGCCATGCGCCCCGAGCGCGTGGCGGGAAGAAAAAAACGTCGCGCGCCACGGGGCGCGCGACAGACAGGACAGCAGCGGAAGCAAGTGGGCCCACAGGCCAGGAGCGTAGTCGCTCTGATACCATGTCAGAATCACAGTTAGAATGAAGGAGCCATAGCTAGGGTTTAGCTAGCTAGGCAAGAGAGAATAGGCAAAAGAGGGGTTGCACTAGCAAGCAGGTGGATACATATAGGAAACCCTAAGGGGCCGTACTCACTATAGAGTACCCCACCACAGGCTAGGCAAATATCACATTCTGACAACAAGAACTAAATAGCATGTTTGAAAAACGGAAGCACGGAAGGAACGAAATAGACGAGCACAGAAAAACAATCAATTCGATAACAAAAATAGTATTAAGATGACGAAAAAAACGCGCAAGGGCAGAGTAACAAAGAATCGAATAAAGGAGAAAGGAGAAAGGATGAAAGGGAGGGGAAAAAGGAGATGAGAGGGGACAGAAACATAAAGAAATATACTATGTCGACCAAATGAAGATAGAGAAATAAACGAAAGTCGAAAGAGAAAAAAGGGTGAAGGATAGAGCAACAAGAAAAACATCAAATCCAAGTGAAATGTCACTAAATCATGAACCCCAGTAAATAGAAGGACGACTCAGAGAACATATGAAGAAACAGAAAAAATGAGACCGGAAAGGAAAGAACATAGGATGGACAGGTGAAAAAAGAGAAGGAAACAACAACCAAAGAGCCTATCTAATCATGGAAAGGTAAAGAGCGTGATAGGGAATGGACAACGGATGCAAGGTGAACGGCGTAAGGAATACCACGCGATGAGATAAGCTGAAGTCCTACAGAAAGCCTAGAACCTAATACATAAACAGTTTGCCGCCCCTTAGAACGACCAACACTCAGTAGACGAGTAGAATACGAACATAAAAAACATGCTAGTCTAACTTAGTTTATTACTATCACCTAACTTAGTAAGCAGAACAACTTCTGACCTTTGAGTGGTAGGTGGAGCTTGGGAAGCGGGAGCAAACCAAGAGAAACCAAGAGAAGAACCGGGCTCCTCTAGCGTGAGGAAGAGAGAAGAAAAGGGACGGGACAAACCCTAACGATTGCAGATTCGTCGCAAAAAAACATTTACTATAATTTAAAACATGATAACGAAACGTTGGTTTTAGCGCAGTCGGTTAAAGCAGCGGTATACATTTGACAGGGCCAAATCCCAAAGTTTATAAAGGTACAGCATGGTAACCAAATTACAACCCTCACGAGCGTCAAATTCCAGCGACGTGCCCACCCTCCCACGCTAACGCTCACCAGGGGGCCAAAGTTTATAGTTTTGGCAAAAGTATACCAGATCCAACTCCCGCGTAGCTCACTCGCCCACCCCTCAGCGCACATGTGAACACTCCAGCGGAAGAAACGGGAGCGCGAGCTTTGCGTAGCGCTTACGCCCATGTCACACGCAAACGGAGCCCTCCTAGGCGTGACTGTGAACACACTACTTAGGGCGATAGAGTTTAGGGTAATGGTCTAGCTCGCGCCACAGTAGGATCCGCGCCTATCTCTCGTCCCATTCCTGGTACCCTACGCCGTGCCTTCCCCTCGCGGCCTTGACCCGCTACTGCCTCATCGCTGCGCATAGACGCCGGACCACGCCAGAGCTCGAGCCGTCGCCGCGCGCCCGATAGGTGCCGAAATGCGGAAAGGGGTCGAACGCTAGCCACGCCTACATTAGGAAATTTCCCGACACGGGCAACTGCAGTCCCTCTTCGCCCAAAGCGGCTTGGCGTAGCCGCATCAAGCTAGTTCTTTACGCCACTAAGAATACGACGAGCGACTCCGCGGAGTTCCGAGCAGCCAAACGCACTCGCAGAATCGCAGTAGCCGCGCGCAGCTCGCGGGAAGGGCGTGCCCGTTTCCGCAATAGCTGAACAAGCCACAGGTGTGTGCGCGACACGGATCCGAACCTGGACACGGTCCCGCCAGCTTCGCGGAACATCCCTACTCCCATCCCGCCTCAATACGGGATCCTATTACCGCCTCCCAAACTCTCCTATCCGCCTCGGGCGAGTCCCCTTCCCGCATGCACCCTCCCCCTTTCCCGCTTCGCGGTTTCGATTGTACGCCTCTCTATCTCCCCCTCCCTCCATCCGTAAAAAATCATCCCAACTCCCGTGCGCACGTTCCCGCATCCCGTTCTCCTCTCCCCGCCTCCGTTCTCCTCTCCCCGCCTCCGTTCTCCTCTCCCCGCCTCCGTTCTCCTCTCCCCGCCTCCGTTCTCCTCTCCTCGCCTCCGTTCTCCTCTCCCCGCCCCCGTTCTCCTCTCCCCGCCTCCGTTCTCCTCTCCCCGCCTCCGTTCTCCTCTCCCCCCCTCCGATCTCCTCTCCCCGCCTCCGTTCCCCTCTCCCCGCCTCCGTTCTCCCCGCCTCCGTTCTCCTCTCCCCGCCTCCGTTCTCCTCTCCCCGCCTCCGTTCTCCTCTCCCCGCCTCCGTTCTCCTCTCCCCGCCTCCGTTCTCATCTCCCCGCCTCCGTTCTCCTCTCCCCTCCTCCGTTCTCCTCTCCGCGCCATCCGATCTCCTCTCCCCGCCTCCGTTCTCCTCTCCCCGCCTCCGTTCTCCTCTCCCCGCCTCCGTTCTCCTCTCCCCGCCTCCGTTCTCCTCTCCCCGCCTCAGTTCTCCTCTCCGCGCCATCCGATCTCCTCTCCGCGCCATCCGATCTCCTCTCCCCGCCTCCGTTCTCCTCTCCCCGCCTCCGTTCTCCTCTCCCCGCCTCCGTTCTCCTCTCCCCGCCTCCGTTCTCCTCTCCGCGCCATCCGATCTCCTCTCCGCGCCATCCGATCTCCTCTCCCCGCCTCCGTTCTCCTCTCCGCGCCATCCGATCTCCTCTCCCCGCCTCCGTTCTCCTCTCCCCGCCTCCGTTCTCCTCTCCCCGCCTCCGTTCTCCTCTCCCCGCCTCCGTTCTCCTCTCCGCGCCATCCGATCTCCTCTCCCCGCCTCCGTTCTCCTCTCCCCGCCCCCGTTCTCCTCTCCCCGCCTCCGTTCTCCTCTCCCCGCCTCCGTTCTCCTCTCCCCCCCTCCGATCTCCTCTCCCCGCCTCCGTTCCCCTCTCCCCGCCTCCGTTCTCCCCGCCTCCGTTCTCCTCTCCCCGCCTCCGTTCTCCTCTCCCCGCCTCCGTTCTCCTCTCCCCGCCTCCGTTCTCCTCTCCCCGCCTCCGTTCTCATCTCCCCGCCTCCGTTCTCCTCTCCCCTCCTCCGTTCTCCTCTCCGCGCCATCCGATCTCCTCTCCCCGCCTCCGTTCTCCTCTCCCCGCCTCCGTTCTCCTCTCCCCGCCTCCGTTCTCCTCTCCCCGCCTCCGTTCTCCTCTCCCCGCCTCAGTTCTCCTCTCCGCGCCATCCGATCTCCTCTCCGCGCCATCCGATCTCCTCTCCCCGCCTCCGTTCTCCTCTCCCCGCCTCCGTTCTCCTCTCCCCGCCTCCGTTCTCCTCTCCCCGCCTCCGTTCTCCTCTCCGCGCCATCCGATCTCCTCTCCGCGCCATCCGATCTCCTCTCCCCGCCTCCGTTCTCCTCTCCGCGCCATCCGATCTCCTCTCCCCGCCTCCGTTCTCCTCTCCCCGCCTCCGTTCTCCTCTCCCCGCCTCCGTTCTCCTCTCCCCGCCTCCGTTCTCCTCTCCGCGCCATCCGATCTCCTCTCCCCGCCTCCGTTCTCCTCTCCCCGCCTCCGTTCTCCTCTCCCCGCCTCCGTTCTCCTCTCCCCGCCTCCGTTCTCCTCTCCGCGCCATCCGATCTCCTCTCCCCGCCTCCGTTCTCCTCTCCCCGCCTCCGTTCTCCTCTCCCCGCCTCCGTTCTCCTCTCCCCGCCTCCGTTCTCCTCTCCCTGCCTCCGTTCTCCTCTCCCCGCCTCCGTTCTCCTCTCCCCGCCTCCGTTCTCCTCTCCCCGCCTCCGTTCTCCTCTCCCCGCCTCCGTTCTCCTCTCCCCGCCTCCGTTCTCCTCTCCGCGCCATCCGATCTCCTCTCCCCGCCTCCGTTCTCCTCTCCCCGCCTCCGTTCTCCTCTCCCCGCCTCCGTTCTCCTCTCCCCGCCTCCGTTCTCCTCTCCCCGCCTCCGTTCTCCTCTCCGCGCCATCCGATCTCCTCTTCCCGCCTCCGTTCTCCTCTCCGTGCCATCCGATCTCCTCTCCCCGCCTCCGTTCTCCTCTCCCCGCCTCCGTTCTCCTCTCCCCGCCTCCGTTCTCCTCTCCCCGCCTCCGTTCTCCTCTCCCCGCCTCCGTTCTCCTCTCCCCGCCTCCGTTCTCCTCTCCCCGCCTCCGTTCTCCTCTCCCCGCCTCCGTTCTCCTCTCCCCGCCTCCGTTCTCCTCTCCCCACCTCCCGTTCTCCCTCCCTTCTCTCCCTTCCCTCCCTTCCCTCCCTTCCCTCCCATCCCTCCCTTCTCTCCCTTACCTCCCTGCTCTCCTTTCCTTCCCTTCTCTCCCTTCCCTCCCTTCTCTCCCTTCCCTCCCTTCTCTCCCTTCCTCCCTTCCCTCCCTACCTTCCTACCCCTTCAATCCCTGCTTCCCTTCTCTCTCGTCACTCCCATCTCTCCTTGCGCTCCCTTCCGTCCCGTCCCTTGCTTCCCAGCTTCCCTCCCAGCCCTCCCTTCCCTCCCTTCCCTCCCTTCCCTCCCTTCCCTCCCTTCCCTCCCTTCCCTCCCTTCCTTCACTTCCCTCCCTTCCCTCCCTTCCGTCCTACCCCGTCAAACCCTCCCTTTTCTCCCGTCACTCCCATCCCTCCTTTCGCAATGACGCGTCCCGTCCCTCGCTTTCCTCCTTCCCTCCCATCCCTCCCTTCCCTCCCTTTACTCCCTTCCCTCCCTTCCCTCCCTTCCCTCACTTCCTTCCTTTAAAAGCCAGTCCCTCTCCTTTCTCCCTTCCCTCCCTTCTCTCCCTGCTCTCCCTTCCCTCCCTTCCCTCACTTCCCTCCCCTCCCTCCCTTCCATCTCTTCCCTCCCCTCTCTCACGTCCCTCCCTTCCCTCCGTCCCTCCCTTCCCTCCATTCCCTCCCTTCCCTCCATTCCCTCCCATCCCTCCCTTCCCTCCCTTCCCTCCGTTCCCTCCCTTCTCTCGCTACCCTCCCTTCTCTCCCTTCTCTCCCTTCTCTCCCTTCCCTCCTTCCCTCCCATAGCTCCCATCCCTCCCTTCCCTCCCTTCCCTCCCCTCTCTCACGTCCCTCCCTTCCCTCCGTCCCTCCCTTCATTCCCTCCCATCCCTGCCTTCCCTCCCTTCCCTCCGTTCCCTCCCTTCTCTCGCTACCCTCCCTTCTCTCTCTTCTCTCCCTTCTCTCCCTTCTCTCCCTTCTCTCCCTTTGAGATCCACCCTGAGCTTGCTTTGCTTTTCTGGACTGGTCTTGTGAGGTCTTGTTCTCCTCCACTTTGCCTATGGGGGTGTGTCAAACATATGTCATAGCCTGTTTAGGCTGTAGTGGGTTAGACAATAGGGGGTACAGCATTTCTAGGGTTTCCCTACATGTACCCATCTCCTTTCTAGCTCACACATTCCTCGTTCTGATTTTGACAACTTGTACTCCTGCATGCTGTTAGTTCATCCATTCTCGTTCATTATTCTGACATGGTTTCAGAGCAGGTCCTCTCCTAGGACCGTTTTTTAAGGGCCCACCGAATCGCGTTTCCCCACGAGTCGCGCCGCCCTGTTAGTGCCGCGCTGCCCCGCCCTGCCCGCTCGCCGCCGCGCGCCCTGCCCTGCCCGCGCGCCGCGTACCACCGCGTCGCCCTGCCCGCGCGCCGTTAGCCGTGCCGCGCCGCCCTGCCCGCGCGCTGCTCGCCGCCGCGCGCCCTGCCCTGCCCGTGCGCCGCTCGTCGCCGCGCCGCGCCGCTCTGCCCGCGCGCCGCTCGCCGCCGCGCGCCCAGCCCTGCCCGCGCGCTGCTCGCCGCCGCGCGCCCTCCCTTGCCCGCGCGCCGCTCGCCGCCGCGCCACCCTGCCTTGCCCGCGCGTCGCTCGCCGCCGCGCCGCACTGCCCTGCCCGTGCACCGTTCGCTGCAGCGCCGCCCTGCCCTGCCCGCGCGCCGCTTGCTGCCGCGCCGCCCTGCCCTGCTCGCGAGCCGCCCTGCTGGCCGCCCGCCCGGCCCTGCCCTGCTTGCGCGCCGCCCTGCTGGCCGCCGCCCTGCCCTGCCAATTGCGCCGCCCTACTCTGGCCGCGCGCCACCCTTCCCTGACCGTGCGCCGCCCCGACCTACCCTAGTGCCTGCTCGCCGCCCTGCCTTCCCTGCGTTCTGCCGTGCTGGTCGCACATCTCCTTCCTTTGCCCGCTATGATGTCTCTTCGTGGTAGCGGTGGGAGTGGTGGCGGCGGTGGTGGCAGCAGTGGGAGTGGTGGCGGCGGCCGTGGTGGCAGTCTCAGTGGAGCTGTTCGGTGGGGAGTTTCTGGCGGTGGCCAGATGCAGCTCCAGCGACGTACGCGCGAGTCCCTCACGCCCCAGCAGCTTCGTGAGTGGTACGCTAGTTGGAGTAGTGGCGGCGGCCGTAGTGGCAGTCGCCGTGGAGCTGTTCAGTGGGGAGTTTCTGGCGGTGGCCTGATGCAGCTGCAGCGGCATCCGCGCGAGACCCTTATGCCCCAGCAGCTTCGTGAGTGGTACGCTCAAGTGGGGCGTCTCGGAGTACTGCTCGCTGCCCATACGTCATTCGCACAGGTGATCCGGCTGGTCAGACTTGCGGGACAGTTGGTCACACACAGTCCCGCTGCTTCGCCTGTCTGAGCGACGCCAGGCGTGCAGAGTTTGGCGACGCGGCTGAGCTCCCTAGCTGGCTGGAGCTGCTTAGGCAGAGGGTGGATATCTTTGCTCTTGACTATGATGCTATCCTCACTGCCATGTATGCATTGACTGTTAATGCTGAGGGTGACTGTTACCTGTGTGTGCCGCCCGACCCAGGTATAGAGGCTGCTGCTCTAGGTGCTAGTGAGTCTGCTCTCTCTGCGCCTGCTGCGGCCTTGCACACCTTCACGCTTGACTCAGGTGCTTCCCGCTGTTTCTTTCACGACAGTACCACAGTCACACCACTCCCTGCACCTGTTGTAGTCTCTCTGGCTGACCCCTCTGGAGGCCCAGTTCTTGCACGTTCCTCCACTGTTCTCCCGTGTCCGGCGGTTCCGTCTGGCTTACTGTCAGGTCTTCACCTCCCCTCGTTCTCTACGAACTTGGTGAGCATCGCCGTCCTTCGGGATGAATGGGTTGATACCTTCACCCCTGGAGGACAACGTGTGGCGATCTGTACGTGCTCCCGGACTGGCCGTCACCTGGCCACGTTCACCCGTCGGCCTGGGTCGAGTCTGTACACACTGACTACTGAGCCTCCCCAGGTAGCTGCGTTTGCGTCTGCGTCAGGTCAGCTAGCGGCCCCCTGCTCGTGTCGCGCCCTGTCGCACCGGACGCTCCTTTGGCACCACCGCCTTGGTCACCCTTCCGTGCCACGCCTCCGTGGCATGCACTCCCATCTTCTTGTCTCTGGTCTTCCCAGGTCTCTGCCTCCCCTCCCACCCTCGCCTGCCCCTCCCTGCCTCCCCTGCGTTGAGGGGCAGCAGCGCGCCGCTCCTCACTCCTCCTCGTTTCCCCCGACGACTGCTCCCCTGCAGACTCTCCACATGGACGTGTGGGGCCCAGCCCGCGTCCGTGGACAGGGCCGCGAGCGCTACCTTTTTCTGGTAGTTGACGACCACACGTGTTACACCACGGTCTTCCCCTTGCGCAGCAAGGGGGAGTTTCCTGATGTTTTGATCCCGTGGATCCGCGCTGTCCGTCTCCAGCTCCGCGAGCGGTTCAAGACGGACCTTCCGTCCTGCGTCTGCACTCTGACAGAGATGGTGAGTTTGCCTCCGACCTTCTGCGGGACTTTTTTCGTGGGGAGGGCATTTACCAGACGTTCACGCTTCCGGCCTCTCCGCAGAAGAATGGGGTTGCTGAGCGCCGCCTTGGCTTAGTCATGGAGGTCGCTCGTACCTCCATGATCCATGCGGCTGCCCCCCATTTTCTGTGGCCGTTTGCGGTCCGGTACGCTGCGCATCAGCTCAACCTCTGGCCCCGTGTCTTCTTGCCGGAGTCCTTGCCTACACTGCGTTGGACGGGGAAGGTTGGCGTTGCGTCGGTGTTCCGGGTCTGGGGCTCTCGTGCCTTTGTCCGCGATACGTCCGCGGACAAGCTCTCCTCCCGCGCCATTCCCTGCGTCTTCCTTGGCTTTCCTCCTGACGCGCCTGGTTGGCAGTTTTACCACCCCACCTTGCGCCATGTCCTGCCCTCTCAGTACGTCACGTTTGACGAGTCGCTTCCCTTTTACCGTCTCTTCCCCTACCGCACTACCCCTCTCCCCCCCCCCCCCGCCACTCTTCCTCGCACCAAGTCCTCCTCAGGTAGACCCCCTCCCTGTCAAAACTAGAAACAAGAAGTGATTGCATTAGCAGGAAGTTGGGTACAAGTAGTGAAACCCTAAAGTGTTGCACCCCATATTGACTACCCCACTACAGAAGAGGTCACAAGACCAGTCAAGAAAAGCAAAGCAAGCTCAGGGTGGATCTCAAGGATACCACACAAATTCCGAGCACAAGCAAGCGGCCACAAGACCAGTTCACATGCAGTTTGATAATACAACAAGCAGTACAGTGATCAGAACCTAGCAAGTGTAAACATGCAGGTATACATATATAAGGATCACAGTACAAGCAAAGTCAGGAAGTAAGCAAGTGAGGCACAGTAGGCACAAGGCCTAGAACAGTACAGAAACGCTGATGATCACAAGGCTGAAGTGCCTTGGTGAAGACATGAGCAGTGTTGGCCCGAGTGGCCACGTATGCAAGACGAAGCTGACCACGTTGCTGCAACTCTCGAGCAAGGAAGTAGCGCAGAGCAATGTGCTTCGTTCTGTGCTCCAATCTGTGCTCCTGACACAAGGCAATCATGGCCTTGTTGTCGACGTACAACACTGGAGGAGAACGAGGCAGCTCTCCCAGGTCGGTCAGCAAGTAGGTGAGCCAGCGTAACTCCTGTACAGCCATGGCCCCTGCGTAGATCTCAGCCTCACAACTGGAGCTGAGAACAGAAGAAGAGCGGGTAGACCGCCAAGAAACAGAGCCGGAGCCAAGACTGAAGGTATAACCCTGTGACGACCGCTGCGTAGCCAAGTCGTCAGCCCAGGAAGAGTCTGCGTGACCAGTGAGGACAACTCGAGCCCGTCATCCATGTCAGAACATATATATAGCTTATGCTGTTGTGTAGGCTATAGTGGGGTATCCCATAGGGGGTACAACCCAATTAGGGTTTCCCATATGTACTCACTTCATTCATAGTTCATTCATTCTCGTTCTACTTTTCTCATGGTATCGAGCAGGTTCCCTCGTGGGAACTGTTCCTAGGGCCCACCGTTTTTTTTTCCTGCCCGGAGCGCACTCTGCCCCTACCCGAGTCGCGCTCCCCTCTCTCTTGGCCCCTAGTGGCCCCTTTAGCCGCCCGTCACGGCCCTTAGACGCCCGCGCGCCGCCCGTCCCGGCCCCTTAGACGCCCGCGCGCCGCCCGTCCCGGCCCCTAGACGCCAGTGCGTCACCCGGCCCGGCCCCTAGACGCCCGCGCGCCGCCCGTCCCGGCCCCTAGACGCCCGCGCGCCGCCCGTCCCGGCCCCTAGACGCCCGCGCGCCGCCCGTCCCGGCCCCTCGACGCCCGCGCGCCGCCCGTCCCGGCCCCTCGACGCCCGCGCGCCGCCCGTCCCGGCCCCTCGCCGCCCGTGAGCCGCCCGTCCCGGCCCCTAGACGCCCGCGCGCCGCCCGTCCCGGCCCCTAGACGCCCGCGCGCCGCCCGTCCCGGCCCCTCGACGCCCACGCGCCGCCCGTCCCGGCCCCTAGACGCCCGCGCGCCACCCGGCCCGACCCCTAGACGCCCGCGCGCCGCCCGTCCCGGCCCCTCGACGCCCGCGCGCCGCCCGTCCCGGCCCCTCGACGCCCGCGCGCCGCCCGTCCCGGCCCCACGCCGCCCTACCTGCGGCCTACTCGCCGCCCTACCTGCGGCTCGCCCGCCGCCCTAACTGCGGCCCGCCCGCCGCCCTACTTGCGGCCCTACCGCCGCCCTGCCTGCGGCCCGCCCGCCACCCTACCTGCGGCCAGCCCGCTGCCCTACCTACGGCCCGACCGCCGCCCTACCTGCGGCCCAACCGCCGCCCTACCTGCGGGAGCCGCCTAGCAGCAGAACCGCCGGGAGCCGAGCCGCCCTGCCGCCGAGCCGCCCGGGAGCCGAGCCGCCCTGCCGCCGAGCCGCCCGGGAGCCGAGCCGCCCTGCCGCCGAGCCGCCCGGGAGCCGAGCCGCCCTGCCGCCGAG